TGTTGTGTTATATTCAAATATCGTTACATGTCTATGTGCAAAATAAGAACGCCTGTTTATAAATAATGACATAAAAATCATGTTCATGTTGCTTCTAGCGCTACCAAAACTGTACTCGCATACTTTTGTAGGAGCCTGATAGCTTATAGCGATGCGAAAATCTGTGGGTAACCGCATATTTAACCGTCGAAACCGCAAGGGGGAACACTGAAAATGAAACGTGTCCCTTGCAATTAGGATAATCAATTTCTGTACACCTTTCTCAAAAATTCCCATACACCCAGGTGACAACGAAGAATTGGGAATCAAATTCCGCTGAACCAGAAATCTGCACTTCAAAGAGCCAGCCAGCGACGTCGCTGAGAGGAGCACGCATGCAGTCATTCCGGTTTTAGCTCATCCACCCACCTCTCTTGGATTGCGGGGCTCGGATCCATCCGTTGTGCGATACTAATCATCTCCGATAGGACTTGAGGAGGACGGACTGTAAAGCTGTAGAGCATACTGCACTGCGTTTGCTCCTTGCTGCTGCTCTTGGCTGACCCAGGACTTCGAAAAATCCCCACAGGTACGAGCAAACTTTGTTGTGTGTGGTCAAAGATGGACTGCGCCTCTGCACAAGCCCCACATGCCACCATGCACAACATACTACTGCTGCCGTTCACCTGTCGCCGTCCTTCCACGTCTACCTGTCCATGACACATGCTGCCACTTGATGCGGCAACATCTGGGAACAACACGGACACAGGGAGTACCCCCGTACCCATACGCACAACCTCTCATTCCTCCCTTGTCAAACACAAATGATGTAACATGCATGAAATGATGAACTCTGTCTATATTTACAAGTATGGTCCACGCTGCCTACAAATGGGAGAGGTAGCCATACCTCCTGCCTACACACGGACGAGAGAGGTGAACACACCCACTGCATTTAACACACACCCACATGTCGGTTATGAAACCTCATCAACCACACGCCTCTATCGGCGACCACGTCATCAGGAGGCAATGATGAGAAATGTTCTCCCGTGTCCTTCTCACATTTAACGACATGAAATTCCACAACATAACATATATGAGACACACAAGACAGCTACCAAACTGATCTTTTGAGCCTGTCACCCGAGAGTTGTCCCTATATGCTGTCTAGGAAATCGTAGACATACAGGTAGTTTTCTCTGACCCTATGATTCCATTGTTAATCTGTCTCTGACTCTTTTCTATGATAGAGATGGCACATCAGCCGCACATACTCCGCACATACATATGCATACCAAACTGAGAATATGTTTGTAAACTGATGGAGATTGCATGTGTTAGAACTAATAGGGTGCGACACACAAAACGCCCGACTACCCAACAGTACCCAACACCTTTCGTCTGCACCTTCCCAACATAACATATATATATGAGACACACAAGACAGCTACCAAACTGAGTTGTTGAGCCTGTTACCCACAGGGGAGATGTCCCTATATGCTGTCTGGGAAATCGTAGACACACAGGTAGTTTTCTCTGACGCTATGATTCCATTGTTAATCTGTCTGACTCTTTTCTATGATAGAGATGGACTCGTTGTGTCATATCAAGAAGAAAAAAAAAAGTTTGAGAGGTAAAAAATTCTGCAAAACCGGCAAGAAGGGCTGGTAGGGGCACGGTACGCCAGTGGGAGCGGGATTTCATCGCCCGTGGTCGCATCGAGGTGCCTGAAAAGGGTCGGGTATCGGCTGTCTTTCTGCTGGAACTTGATGAAGGCATTGGAAAGTCAGTAAAAGATTGGGTCAGAGAGAACAGCGGGGTACTGAGCGGGCAAATCAACAAGACGGCGGAGGACTTCCGCAAGTTTATCAACAATTATACAAGGAGAAATAAATACACGCACAGATGATATCATGCCGGTGCGGCAGGCGATTGAGACGGAAACCTTCGACCCTTTCAAAGGGCTGCTCGTGACGAAGGAGGAGGAAGAAGGCAAGCCGTTGAGGCGAGTGATTTCCCTTCCAACCGCAGTGGCTTGGCTGACAAAACTGGGGTGCGAGTACCACAGCGGGAAAAAAGGCCTCTTCGATGGGCACGACGAGAAGAAGACCCTGGACTGTCGCAACGACGTGGTTTTGCCGGTGCTATTTGAAATCCGAGACTACATGGAGGTGTGGATTTCGATGGCGAAGGATGAAGCGACTGCCTGGCGCATCGGCGACGACAACGTGAAGGAGAACGATCGCCTTGCGGATGGTGGTGTGTGGGCGTGTGTCGATGATCTTGGACCGGCCTTGGTGGAGC